CGAGCCAGGGGACAGAATCTTCCCCAGAATCAAAACTAATATGGGTCAAGCAAACAAAGGATTTGAGGGAGAAAACCCTTACAGAGCAAACCCACCAAATAGGAACTACCTTCCCCAGAAGGATTACGACTATGATGATGACGTAAGTGATTTGTGCATGATTATGAGGGTTGGGTACCTTGACCCTAGCAATGGAGAGAAAGTGCCAAAGACAGTAAGCAAAGTCCTCACCTCTGCCCCAGCACTTGTACACTAGGAAAAATGTTGGGAGTGGCAAAAGGTGATCTAACAGCCCTGGATCCACAGGGTAAATATTCAGCGTAGGAGCTGAAGAAGACCGCTCCAGGCTTAGACACGACCTTAGACTTTCATACCCAGGGCTGCTTCAACCCTTGGAACAGCCCAAGACTGGGGGCTGCAAAGTTATCTTAAAGGGCAGAGTCTTGCCCATCGTTTGGAACAGCACAGGGAGACCTATAAAGCAGAGACCCGTTATGTAGGTGGATGTTTCCTGGCATGATGAAACCCACTGCCTGTGTTTTATTCCAAGTATTTTGCCTCTTTCTGCTCAGCAGTTGAGCTGCTGAGTCGTGTGGCACTCAGGTGGCTGCTCTTCATACATAAAGAACATTATGGAGATCAGTAAAAGATCTCCATGTGCTGTGCCCTGCACCCAGGCTGGGAAAAGCACGCTGGCAGGACAGCACTTATTTGCAGATCTTTGACAAGGATTTTGGATCCAACTCAGGAAAGCCCTCATCTTCTCAACTGAATTAAAAATTAGCTCATGTGCTTAACTTCAAGCATGTGCTTAAAATGCTTTGCTGAACTGAATCCTAATCCCTGAAGGTGAGAAACAATGGTAAGTTTGGCAGTGCATATCATACAAAAAGCTGCTGATGAAAAAGGATCTAATTAATTTAGCTAAGCATCTAATTAACCATGTGCTCTGAGCCATACAGGTACAGCTTTGGTTGGACTTCAGCTTATCAAGAAAGTTGACTTTTCACCAGTGAGAATTTGTCTCAAAATATAGTTGCTTCAAAAGGTGTTTCATTTTCTGTCGAAGCTGATGCTACGCAGAAGGGCTCCTGCAGGACTCATTTGGAGGGTGGTATTTTCTGACCCACCAACTCTTTCACGTGTTTTTTTCTTTTTCATCTTCTCTCCAGTATGAAATGTTAGCAAGAAGTGATGGCTTCAAGTTGCAGCGCAGATCCTGATTTTAAGTAGCTCAAGAGATTGCGAGGCTTCAAGAGAGACAATGGACCCGACAGGTTCTGCAGCTGCTTCACTAATAGGATGATCTCAGCTGTGTGGCAGATAGAAAACTTTCAACACTCCCTATCCTCCTGACATCACCTTTCTGAAGGAGACATCAGCCTTAATTAACCTTCTTAAATCAATACCAATAAAAATGGTACCAAGATGTCCTTATGGGCATGAATGAGCTTCTCCGTCTTCGGTTCTGACTGCTCAGGTTTCTAAGGTAGTGGTAGATCGATGCAGCTCTATCAATCGCTAGCGCACTCAGGGTAACGACACTTTAACCACCACACCACTCATCCCTGCTCAGAGATGTTCCAGATCACTTGACAATAAAAATGCCTGGGCTCACTGCTGGTACTGTTACTACCCCAAGCAAACCTGCAGTGCTGTTTAGTGTGCTGGGACATTGCCAAAAGCGTGTGCAAGTTTAGTGTAAGTCAAGGCTGCTAAGAACTGCCTGTGATTTCATCCTGCTTTAGATTCCAGGTGCATCAATCTGCCAAAGGAACGGTCCAGCCAAGGAGCTTGGATCTTAATTGAAACCCACAGTTGCTCCTGTGATAAAAATTCAAACAACCAGGAATAAGTATAGATTCAAAATTTCTTCCCCTACCCATTGTTTGAGAGGGTTCAGTTCTGAACCTGAGTCACGTACACATACACTTTCCTCCCCATGCAGCAACATGGCTAATACCTCAACACTATAGCTCCTGGACCTAAGCTATAGTTCTTTGTCTTACATAATCTGTGATCACTTTTCTTTTCTCTGGAGTCAAGGAAGGCAGAAGCATGTTTTCCTTTTAAACAGCTATAATTCTGTGAAAAGCAATGCTTGACTTTTTTCTCTTTGTATTTCTAGTTTCTCATGCATCTTCAGTGTTCCTTTGTACCTCCAGCAAATCTTTTTCTAATGATACGTAACCTATAATCTGGCATTTAAGTAGGTTGTCTATTGACTAAGGACAGCATTTAAAATACTGTACATATATTTAAATAGGTTTGTTAAATCTAAAATATAATTTGATTGAATTGAATGTTATGTTTTCTGATGCATGTTCCTGATACGTGCAAACTAAACAGATTCTGCTCAGTAAACTGTTTGATATAATGCTGCTCAGACAAATTTGATTTCTTTTCCACTAACCAAGGGACTATGTTGTACTTTAAAACTTAGCAAGGGAATACAAGCATCAGAATGTGTACCTGAGACTAGATTTTGAAAACCCCAAAAGGCAGAGAATGGGTCCAGGAGTTTGGTTTATTCCTATCACTCATTCAGAGGCACTTGTTCAGTAGAAACAGTCATTAAACCTTAATGCAGCCATAATATTTAGACTTGGGAGGTTTGCACATACATTTAAATAATTTTCAAGGAGAGTTGGGCACCTAGCCCACTATAGCCCCCTTTGAAAATTGCAAAGCGGGTGTATCAAAGTGTTTCTATGATACACCAACCTTGTCCCTATGCATACATGTTCTTCTGTGGATGGACATCAAAGTCTGTAACCATCTCACAGAAAACGAAATTCTCCTTTCGCTTCAATAGGCTTTTGTTTTCATGGGAAAAGTGGCAGGTTTGCTCCTCCTTGATACCCACGATGTATACCACTATACATTCTCCTCCCCACAAGCACTTTCAGTCTTTAAAAGTAATTAGCAATGGTACTGGAAGGATACCAGCCCATTGTAAGGAATATAAGATAAGTAGCAAGGCTCTTGTATCCAGGATCGCACTCAAAGACTTATTCTTTTTCCCTTGTTGTCCCACCTACCACGCAGGCCCTAGGCAAGGTTGGCTATTAGGAGGCACTTTGATGGTGGTGAAGCGTTGGACCAGGCTACTTAGAGAAATTGTGGACTCTCCATCTCTGGAAGTTTCAAGAACAGGTTAGATAGAAATTTGGCTAGGGTAGTTTAGTCAGGGAGGACCCTGCCTTGAGCAGCGGCTGGACTAGATGACCTCATGAGGTCACTTACAGCCCTACTTTCCCATAATCCTATGTACCACCAAACTGTGTGAAACGTAAATGTGAGTGACCTTGTCAGTAGAGATCTCAGGTCAATAAAGACAGTTGTCTGAAACCTTAATCTGAACTTGTTTGCTTGGGCATCAGCTCCTGCTCTGGCCAGGTGCTAAAGCCCATGTCTGCCAGTGGAAGACCAGATCCACAAGCAGAAAGCTTAAGATATCATGAGGCAGGCAATTGTGGCCATACTTCTGCCCCAGCTGCGCCAAGAGGTGTTGCAACTTAGAAGGGTTTGAAATATATTTTTTCAGGCTTAACCAGGAGTTAAAGATTAATGAGCCTTTTGTGAGTGGATGGTGTATGAAACTTCAAGGTCAAAGACAGCAAGACACATTGCTAGAGCTGTCAGGCGTTCATGTCATTTGGATGTGGAGGAATTTTAATTGGCTTAGCTCAAAGTTTAGTTATGTAGCAGTAGCAGCATCATTTACTTGTTCTAACTGCGCTCGAAGGGTCTGCAGTCATTCTGATCAAATCACTATTCCTCAGGCTTCCCACGTCAGCTATAAATGCTTTCTCTAGGCTGAGCATAGTTGTGAAAAGCAAGTTGGAAAGGCAAGCTGAAAAGTGAACTGAGAAAAGCAACGGTGTGGAGTGTCATGAGTATTGTCTCTGAGTTTAGAAAAGGGGTGGCCAAAATGCAGCCCGTGGGCCGGATGTGGCCCGCCAGGCCATTCTATCTGGCCCACAGGGCCCCTAAAAAATTTAGAAAATTAATATTTATCTGCCCCTGGCTGCCTGTCATGCGGCCCTCGATGGCTTGCCAAAGCTCAGTAAGCGGCCCTCCACCCAAAATAATTGCCCACTGTGGTTTAGAAGGTCATTTAACCCGTTCATCTTGCACAGTCTGCCTGGGGATTGGAATCAAAGTGGAGGCCAGTCATTAAGTGCCAGTCATTAAGATGCCGTAGATCTACTCAGAGCACACCTACCAGTCAGGACTCCGTACAACATGCAAAAAAAAAGGCCATCGGTTTCCTTCAAAACTTTGACTGAATTGGTACTAGGGTCATCTTTTTATAAAATAGTTCAGTGGTTAGAGCTGCAAAGCAGTATGTGGGAGCCCTGAGTTCAATTACCTCATTTGCCTCAGGGGACAGAAACACACAGCTCCCAGGAGCACTCCCCAGTCTTCAGGTTGCGGGCTATTTTGGGGTGGGAGCTCTTTAAATCCTTTCTGTTGAAGTTGTTTCCCTGTGCATAAAAGCAGTAATGATTCAATGGGTGGAGAGAGAGCGAGAGAGAGCAGAAGCATGGCTAATAATGGTTAGAGCACTCACATGGGAAAGATCATCCTACTTTCATAGATGTTAGGAGCCAGAAGGGACCTCACGAGATCGTCAGGTCCAGCCCTCTGCACTTGGGCAGGAAAGACGGCTGGGGTCAGATGACCTCCGCAAGGTGTGTGTCAAGTCGTTTTTTAAAGATCTCTGGGGGAGGTGACTGGACCCCCTCTGGGGGGAGTCTCTTCCAGACCCTAGGCACTCGCATCGTAAAGAAGTTTCTCCTTATGTCCAGTCTGAAGCGATCTTCGAGCAGGAGGCTGGAAGACATAAAAGACCATAGACTCAGAAGGCAAGCTATAATAGATTAGTCTAATGTGCCATTTTCTAGTACAGGTAAATACAGGTACAGTATAACCTCATGAATCAGATATCAAAAATCCAGAACTCTCAACCTGCTTATGTATCTTAAACAGTTATTTGATATAATATTTTTGTGGCTCTGGACCTGGGCCTTTTCACCACCATTAAAATGCTGCCATCTTTGGTGTGACACAGTTTAAGACAGGAGGTAAAGAATACTGGCAGTTGCTGCAAGTATAATTAAGCATATTCCCATTTGACCCACTAGAAACTAGCAGGTAAATGTTTGGTGGCCAGATGAAAGTGTCTGAACTCGAATCTAATCATGAAACAGGGATCGGAGTAGAGTTGTGTGCCTCTGAGCACTTCAATGCTGAGTTAATTTGTTCTATCCAAACTTTTCTAATTAGGTTGTGCCAGTCCACATGGTATATAGTGGCTTCTGTAACCCACTACATTGCTGAGCATCCATCTTGTATGGTTCTTGCCTTCTTTCATACTTTAACCTCTCCTGTTATTTCCATGCATACACCCAGAGGCCTGGAACCTTTGGGTGTGTACAGAAGTGCTTTGCTCACACTTTACAGCACTGCAATTTAGAGCACTTTCTATAGCACTAGAAGGTTACAGTACTCTTAAACATGACACAAATGCAGTGTTTAGTGGGGGAGAGAAGAAGGGGAAGGAGCTGGGGCCTCTGACCCTCCCTGCACTTTCCAGGCTAGGAGGCAGCGGGCACTCTGCAGCCTCCTGGGACTGCAGGAGACTGGGGACAGCAGAAGAACAGTGGAGAAGGCGGAACTGGGATATCAGCATGTCATCCATAGGCGGTGGAAGGAGGGGGTGCAGGGCTCAGCATCCCCAAACACAAGCAGCAGGTAGTGCCCCAGGGCAGCCCAGCCACAGGCTGATGCAGCGGGGGGGAGGGGCACACACACTCACATACCCTGCCCAGCCAGGATCACAGCTGGCTCAGCAGGCACGTAAGTTTCTTTCAGTCTTCTTTCTGCCTGGGCTTGGGGGGTGGGGGGCAGATCAAGACCCCCCCCCAGTGTAGGAGGGATTGTGGTAGGGGCAAGGGCAAATCACTCACCTCTGCCCCACTCCCTGCTGCACTGTGGGGATTGCCCCACAACTCAAGCTCAGCAGCTCATCCAGGAGCATGGGCGGGTGGCTTCTGCCACTGCACACACCTCAGGGGAGCTGGGGGGGGCACATTCCCTCCCCTCCTGACTCTGTTCTGGTCACCGGCTCTGAGCCCCCCTGGGTGGTGTGGGGCAGGGGCTGGGGCTGGGGCCAGTGCAAGGTGGCAGCTGGGGCTGGTGCAGGGGGGCGAATTTATGGGGGCCACCAGCACCAGGCAACAACCCCAGGCATGGGGGAAGGGGCAGCCACATGGGTGCAGTAGGCCTCAGGCCTGATCCCGGGCTCAACTCTGCTCTGATCCCTGCCCAGTCCCAGCCCCGCTCTCCCCACCATGGCCCTTTTCCTCGCCCTCCCCCTTCCCCCGGAGGACGGTGTGTATATGCGTGAGCGTTCAGGCCCCCACCTCCCCAATTTTTTCTACTTCTGCTTATGATATCATCCTACCCCTACCCCCATCTGCACCTGAAGTGTTTGGGAGTGGGCACTGCTTCTGGCACAGGCTGGGCAGCAGCTTGGCTAACAGTCCAGCTCCAAGCATCTGGTCTCCCCTACAGCTCCAGGGCGCGTGCGTGTGTGTCCAAGCACCTGGTCACCCCACAAGCCATGCAGGGGAAAGAGATAGAGTCCCTTTCACACTCCTCCCTCCCCCCTGCCTTTGCTGGGAATGGGTACCACATCTGCCACAGGGCTGGGCAGCAGCTTGCAAGGTCCATGGGATACTGGCAGAATCAAGAGAAATTTGACCAGCATACAGCAGTTACTTAAAGTGCTCTAAGTTGTTAAAATGCACTTCAAATTTAATACCTCATTTAACAAGTGTTAATGTAAAGTGCTGTAAACATTTTTAAAGTGCTGTAAAGCTGTGCACTTCTGTTAAGTCATGGCAATAAAGCACTTCCCATGGCACGGAAAGCAACTTCTGTACACACTGTTTAAGAGAAATCATTGACATATGCTGATGATTAGGGGAACAAGCTTCCCAGCTGCTTTTTTGGGTGCACTAAACGTCTATTGAAGCAGCCATGTCATACATGTAGAGTCATAATAGTTGCTGGGAGAACCAGTTGTTCTTGCCAGTTTTGTATCTTTCTGTAAATTTTTGCTTTGATTTCATGTGTTGCTTTGTTTCAGTGCAGCCTCCAAGGCTGCCAGCCCTTACTGACAAGAGGTTCGCCCAGGGGAAGATCAGTGTCAATGGAACAGCTGATGGTGAGAAACCTAATTTTAAGCTTTTGTGAAAAATGGGATTGTGAACCTCTTTGCTATCTTCTTCTT